TTCCCCCATCTCCGGTCGCTCTGCTCGGCGCCCCGAGGCGATGGATCCGGATGCGCCGTTCGACCAGAATAAGCTGTTGACGCAGCTCATTGCCAATCACGCCTACGACCCGCAGCGCTGGAGCCAGACTGGAGATAACCGATCGACGGCGCAGGGCAGTGCGGGGCCAGATCGGGCGAGAGCCAGATGCAGGCCGAGTTCGACAACTGCTCCAGAGCAGGAGGATAAAGGGGGAGGAGGAGGAGAAGGAGGAGGAGGACGCGGCCGCGGCTGCAGGATGAGGACGAGGCAGAGAGGACGCGGCCGCGGCTGCAGGATGAGGACGAGGCAGAGGCGGCAGGATGAGGGCTGAGGCAGAGGCGGCGACGCCGTGAGCCAGCGCCGAGCCCTCGGTGCACACGTATATTATTCGTGAGCTGCGTCGGTCGTCAGTTGTCGTCATCGTCGTCATCGCAGTCTCTCGTGGCCGAGTGGGCCTCGAGAGCTATCGCCGATGCATTGCCGATGCTTCGCTCACGCGTCGCCCGCGCATCGCCCGCGCATCGCTGACGCATCGCTGACGCATCGCTGACGCATCGCTGATGCCTCGGTGATCGTCAGAGCGTCGGGCCGTCGGGCCGTCGAGTTCACGAGGGTTTCCAGGATGCTCCTCGTCGCCACAGCTGGAGACCGACTCGGAATCCTGGTCGACACGCGCGGGTCCCTGGGCCAACTTTCTACCCCCTGGTGCCGACGGCGACTCGGAGGACTCAGAGGGCGGCGACGACTCGGACGACTCGGACGACTCGGACGACGGCGACTACGACGACGACGACGACAACGACGACGAGGACGACGGCGACTCGGACTCGGACTCGGACTCGGACTCGGACTCGGGCGACGACTACGACGACGACGATGACGACAACGACGACTCTGACGACGACGACGACGACGAAGACGACGACGACAACGACGACGACAGCGACGACAGCGACGACTGCCGCGGGGAGCAGGCCGTTTTGGGTTCAGGGTCGGACCGCGACGACCCGAGCTTGGTCTGCTGACCCAGCGGCGGCTGCCCACTTTCCCTCCTGCTCTTCCTCCCTCCCGCCCTCCCTCGAGTTCCTCCCTCCTCCTCCTCCTCCTCCTCCATTTCCTCCTCCTTCTCCTCCTCCTCCTCCTCCATCCCCGCGGCGGGCCACTCACGGCGACTCGGGGTGAGCCAGATCCTCCCCCTCCTCCGCGACGACGGGCTTCTCGGTCGAACTCTCGGGGGCTGGACCGCTCATGATCTCGTCGCTGTCCGTCGGCTGGGGCAACTCGGCCGGCGACGATGATGCTGGTGTCCGGTCCGAGCACGGTCGGCGATGCCAACGGTGTCCGTCGACGGTGATCTCGAGTAGATAGTCTTCGGTCGCCAGAATCGTCGGCGACGGCGACCCCGACGGCAAGGTCGGCTCCGACAGGCTGTCGACGACGGTCGGGCTGCCATCCACGGGGGGCCACGTGCTGGGCATCGGAGGGGGCGTCGGGTCGGGGGGCGGCGGATTCGTTGCGGGGTCGACTGGGGCTGGGGACGTCGGGCTGAGGGGGTGGGCTGGGGACGTCGGGCATGGGGCTGGGGACGTCGGGCTGAGGGGGCGGGCTGGGGACGTCGGGCTAGCTGGAGATGTTGGGCTGACGGGGCCAGGCGGGGGCGTCGGGGGCGTCGGGTCGGCGTCCGGGGCCGCGGCTCGCCCAGGATCGCCGCGGGGGCGGCGGGGCGGCGGCTCGCCCACGATCGCCGCGGCCGCGGCCGCGCGGTCTGGCCAGGGGTCGGGGCGACTGCGGCGTCGGGGCGGCCGCGCGCCCAAGATCGCCATGACCGCGGCCGCGCGGCGAGTCATCGATCCGCGATCGGCGTCGACGTCGAACCGAGATCGCTACAGAAAGCGCTTCCCGTGATCCGCCGACCGTCCTACGTCGCCACCCTGCCTGTCCCCCTCTCGGGGATCCCCCTCGCCCCTCACCTACGCAATATGATTACTACTCTTCCTCACTCCCTCACTTAACCTACCTTTGCATCCGAACTGTAATTTGTTTAGGGTGAGCTGCGCGCGCGAGATTAATATTTCGCGCGCGCGCAGCGCGCCCTAAAACGCACACCTGAACTACCGATTTTTGTTGGGGCGTACATCTCGAAACGGAGATGTGAGCCCTTCAACAAGACATGGCGCTGGGCGCGGGCATCGCGACGGTGAAAAAATCGTAAGCTATGCCATGCCGTGCTGATGTGAACGTTTTAATCCCGCGGTGCCCGACGTGCGTCGGAGCCCGCGGATATCGAGGACAGTGGCGACGAGGAGCTGTCCGAGGCCAGGTTGCGGTCACACCCCAACGCTTCGTAAAAGAATGCGTAGCACTGCTGTCGACAGCAGTGCTACGCATGCTGTTGTTGCCAACGCGTTGAATTGAACGCAGAAAAACACAGACGCACACGCGCGGCTAGATGAGGTCAGATGTGGCGCGAGCGTTCCCC